TGGGAACCACCTGTCAGAGGATGAGCCCCACCAGTAAGGACTTTGACCATTTTTCTGAAACATGAGGTGAATGCCACATTAGGGAGCAGTGCTCACAAGAGCTGCAGTAGGCATGTCAAACAGCCACATGTATCTCCCAAGCCACTGCATGAGTATCACTACTGTAGATGCTCAGAAGCAAGCAATATCTTCCCAAACCTTCCTATCCTCCTGCTGGAGCACCACCCTGTGGTGTGCAACATAAAACTACTGCAAGGGCTGAGCTTACAGTGGGTGTATTGGTTTCTCTACAAAGAGAAACCAAAGAGAAACGCAAGAGAAATCCCTTTTGTAAATGAGAGATAAGAAAATAAGAGGAATCAGTGGCTGCATTTAAAACATTGAACTTGAAAGAAAGAAATTCCTTTCCCCATAATAATATCAGTTCTTTCAGTGACTTTTTGTTAAAAAATAAGGTTCTGGTTAAGTAATAACACCTCCCCCCAAAAAAAAGTCTGAGGTCCCAAATCTTGCCTTGGATTAGAGGTAATCATTAGGAGCCAACGCATTTCTATTTCAAACCAGAGAATTACAAGCTTCAGCAACATCCACTAGGTACAAGCTCACAAGAGGGCTTTTTCTGTTACTGTAAGCTGCGAATTGAGATTGCTTCAGAGTTTCTAGACCTGGATATAAAACAAAATGACTCCATGTCCATATTTTTTTGGCATTGTATTCTGGGTTAAAACAACAGTGAAAAGCATCTTGGGTACTTTATGAGTCATGGATTAAGTACAATTTTTACTGTTCTGGTCATTTGAACTTGCCAGATGCAAACACGGAAAGACACAAGAGCACCTGCTATCTCCTGAGGCATTTGTAAAAATAAGGTGTTACATCTCATGAGGACATCTTGGCAAATGTATTTTGTAAACTAAAACTCCACATAGCACACATAGAGAGTTTTTATTTTTCCAAGATGAAAACACTTCATGCTCTGGGGGACCAGGGAAAGTCTTAATTAAAGTCAAATCAACAGGGGGGGGGAGAGCTTTTTGCTCAAACGTGCTATTTTTGTTCTGCATTTACAAAGTCTCTCTTTTTTTTCTTTCTTTCTTTGTCTTCACGCCTGGGCTTAGTATCAGTTCAAACAGCTAGTTCCAAAGGAGAAATATATTACTGGCAGCTGTTCGGCTCGTCTTTTATACAAACCTAATAGGAAAACAGCAAAACTTTTCTTAGTGAACCTTAAGAGGGCTTTACTTTCCAGAATTCATATGTAAAAAGATCCCATTCTAATTATAGCATCTCTAAATTCTACAATGCAATGTAGCATTTCTCTCCTTCTCAACTATCCCAACTTCTTTACGCCAAGCAGGAAAAGAAATGTTCAGTGTTCCTACTACAAAAAGAGTGATAAACACACACATTTCTCATTTCTTCCTTTTCCCATCTGGAATTGCACCTGCCTTGAAAAGACCCATTTATTTCTCAGCAGATGGCATGATAGTAAACCACTATGGATTTCTTAACCATTGTATTGTGTGCGCGCATACCTTGGTATGTACTACTTGCAATACTAAAAGTACATTTGACTGAAGTAGACTGAAAGCCTATATTCATGTTAAAAGAATTTTGTAAACCATAGTTTCTTTTGGAAACGTTTTAAAATTGCAGACTATGGAACAACATGTTCAGCTAAGAATTCCTTCTATTTATGATAAGAATGTCATTTTGAGGACACTTCTAAATGGAGAATTATGGAACATATGAAGCTGCCTTATACTGAGTCAGAGCATTGGTCTATCAAGGTCAGTTGCTAAAACCCAGGTGGGACCTGAAGATCTTCTAGAATTATAACCGAACTCCAGACTACAGAGACCAGTTCCTTCACAGAAAATGGATGCTCTGGAGGGTGAACTGCATGGCATTATATATCCCAAACTCTGCCTTCCCCAGACTACATCCCCGAATCTCCAGGAATTTTCCAACCCAGAGTTGGCAATCCTGTTTATTTTGCCTGGCTAGCACTGCCTCTCTGATAGAGGATTTGTATCACCTACTACCTGATGTTTTAAAAACTGGAAATGCCAGGGATTGAACCCAGGACCTTTTGTTTGTGCTCTGTTAACCGTGCCATGGCATAACCCCAATTGCACGTGACAAAATGAATTGGAACCCATCTATTTCAAGGAACAACAGCCCTGAAAAATTCCTAGTGCACACCGTTGGAGAAGCAACAGCCTACTAGGAGTCTGATTACTGTGAATGTTGCTGAAGAAGTCGTTTAGTCCGCTTGTACCCTAGGGGGAGCTGTGGAGCATTCTCTAGTGTTTAGGATTTATTGAATGTTTTTCTCTTGCAGTTCAGCCTACCTCTTGTTTCTCTCTCTGCTGTGTAGTAGTTTGTGTTGCTTATGTGCTAAAGGCCTCTCTGTTGCATTAATGGCCTGCAGTCAGTTATTGTCTTCAAAACCGGGTTGCAGTAAATCCTTTAAAAGCGAACTCCAAGGCGTGGATTGGATTATATCCAGAACTCTGCCAACACATACTCCATAGGAACTTTCCAGTTATGATGACACAGATTGTAACATGCTGTTAAAGAGCAGGGGGGTGCTACGTTAGAGACTCCTGAAGGCCAATTTAATTTAATTTATTTAGATGCTTAACCTGCCCTGACTCTGAATGCTCAGAGCAGGTGGCCACATTAAACCTATTTAGAACATATTATTTAAAATACTGCAAAATTTAATAGGTTTAGATGTTTAAACTGTCCTGTCTTTCAGCACAGTTCTAAGCCCTGTCTCTGAACAGCTTAAGGTAGCAACGAACTCTGATACCAGCAGGACTTTGAGATCCTGGCCCCGACCTGATGAAAACTCACTGCCACCAGGGCCCTGCATGATCTTATGCAATTCCACAGGGCCTGTAAGGCGGGAATGTTCTGCCAGGGCTTTGGCTGAGGACAGCAACGGTTCTCTATTGTGGCTGGAATCCTCTTCTTTCCTCCTCCATCCAGCTCTTATCCTGTGCTTCCTCTTCCCTGCCCAGAAGTGGACAGGCAGTCCAGAACCGGGATGACCTGCCCAGAAGTGGACAGACAGTCCAGAACCGGGATGAAATTTCTAGGGACCCCATCTTGGACTCCTTTTAATCTGATTTTAACTTTCCTCTTTAATTCTGTTGTGATTGGTATTTTAATGTTTTGTACATTTGTTTTATGGCTTCATGCCTTTTGTTGTATATCACCCAGAGCCCTGCCTAGGCAAGGATAGGGTGATTAATAAATGAAATTATTATTGATGATGATGATCATGATGTAACCAGGAGATAGGGCAGCATATTCTGCAGATATGCCAGTGCTATGGCAGTTCAGCTCCTGTGACCATTTAAAAATGGATGATATCAGTCTGTTTCCTTTCATTTAGCTTCTCTTTATGGAACGGGCACTCCCCACCCCACCCCATCCATTTGGCAGTTTTGCTAGGACACCTAGTTCTCAGAGGGTAGGGAACATGCTATAGGGCTACATCTCTCTGGCACAAGAGGTGGACATAGCGGGCACAATTATAGCCCTGGGTGAGATACCCCATTGTAAACCTAAGAACATAAGAAAAGCCAATGCTGGATCAGGCCAATGACCCATCCAGTCCAACACTCTGTGTCACACAGTGGCCAAAAATACCAGGTGCCATCAGGAGGTCCATCAGTGGGGCCAGAATTCCAGAAGCCCTCCCACTGTTGCTCCCCCCCCAAAGCAACAAGAATACAGAGCATCACTTGCCCCAGACCGAGAGTTCCTATCTATACCTTGTGCCTAATAGCCACTGATGGACCTCTGCTCCATATGTTTTTCTAATTCCCTCTTGAAGCTGTCCATGCTTGTAGCTGCCACCGCCTCCTGTGGCAGTGAATTCCATGTGTTAATCACTCTTTGGGTGAAGCCTGTTTCAATCTGTGGGCCCTTTGGGAATTTTGAGAATAGTAGCGGGCACCATAGCACACTGAAATGGCTGCCATGGCAGGGTGGAGAATTTAAACCAAGTGTGTGTGGGGGGGTGTTTCCCACAAAACGCTAGAAAGTTTCATGCCAAGCAGTCTCCTGTGATGCATGCAGCTGTTTCGATGTGGGTGCCCCCCTGCAGACAGAAAGACCTCCTGGTCTCTTCTAAAGCAACCCCAGCTCCAGATGGGCAAGTAAAACTGAGATTTGGGGAAAGGGATATTTTGGGGAAGAAGCAACTGGAAACACACTGGTGACCAGCCACCCTCTCAGGGATTACTGTTCGAAAGCACTCTCCTGTACCCAGGGGTCATTTCGTAGAAAAAGAGGTGCAGGGACTCATTAGCATAACTTATTTGCATATGCCACGCCCCCTAACATCACCAGAAGTGTGTCAGAAGGCAACACCCACCACTCAGGCTCCACTGGACTGTTTTGGATTGCTAGCTATTGGGGGGGGGGACGTGCAGATCTGTCCTCACAGGGGAGGGAGAGCTTGTACCTGAATAAAACTTGGTCTTAAAGGTGCCGCTGGACTGTTTTGGATTGCTAGCTAT